AAGAGATATGAAAAAATAATTGAATGGAAATGAATACAAGGAATTAATAAAGAAAACAAAACAAAAAAATCTCTTTGTTTATCATATCAGAAAACTATGATCTTGAAGAAAAAAAATCCACTACCTAAAGAAGAAAACCTCAAAAATGAAAGTCTCCAAGAAATTTTAACAAGAAGAGTAGAATATGAAATGAAATAATTGGATTTTAAGTTCTATTAGAACCTTGTAGAGTGATCTGCAGTAATAACCTATAAGCAATAAAGTTAATAATTAAAAGGATCTTTACCTGAACTATTAACTGAGCAATAAATCACTCCTGAAGTTGCACTTAGTGTTTTAATAATTCTTAAAATAAATACAAGTGAGTTGGGTAGAGACTTAACTTTAGTGATATATTTTAATATAAAGTATATATATATTTAATAAAATATATATATTTAGTTTGATAGAGGGTATTAAAAAAAAAAAAAAGAAGAAGAAGGATTTTTAAATAAATATCTTTCTTGAAAAAAAAATATTATTATATTCTCAAATAAAATATTTTTATAAATTATCTTTATCAAATCTTTTAAATTAAATAAAAGTTTAAAAGTACTATAGTAGAAAATTAAATTATACATAGAATTTCTATTATATAAAAAAATATAAAAGTTGAATCAACAATTATAATTGAAATTTCAAACAATATGTATTAAAATAAAAATAGATAACAAAAAGTAAAAAGATAAATTTAAAATAAAAAATATTTAAAAAAAGGTTAAAAAAAAAAATATGGTAAATTAGTTTTTAACAATATATATAATAGACTCAAGTCAACTAATATTAATTTATTCTATATTATTAAAAAGAGTAAATATAAAGTAACAATACTTGGATTTAAAATATTAAAAAAATTAAAATTAAAAGAATAATCTATTTTCAAGAATTTAAGTTTACTCAAAGATATATAATTATTTAAAAAAGACTTTTTTAATAACAATATTTAAATAACTTTTAACTTTAAAGAAGTAGAAAATATCTTATAATATATAAAAAAATTAATATTAACAAAAAAAAATTTTTTTTTATTAATTTTATATAAGCTATTGAATAGAAATACTTATATTTTTTAAATAAAAAAAAATAGAACAATAATTGAATTATAATGATTATATTAATTAATTTAAATTGAAGCTATATCTATTAAAAAATTGAAGTTATATTATAAAAATATAAAAAAATATTAGGTAGTTATATTTACAATTATTTTTATTCTTAAAGAAGAATAAAAATATAAATATTTTATATTAATTTGAAAATTAAAAAGATAAATAGTTTATTTATATAACAATAAAAATCTTTAGAATTATTATTATTTAATATAAATTAACTAATTATAGAATTTAATTATTCTTATTAATTATAATACTCAGTTTTTATAATTATATAATATAACATATATATTTACTTATTATATTTTATTATAAATTTCAATTTTGATAATTTTTAAATTTTTAATTAAATAATCAAAAATTATAAAATTATTGTTAAAATTTTTATTAATTATTATATGACTTACAATAACAATTAATTGAAATTGTTTAAAGATAAAAAATTTTATATAGAAAAAAAATTTTAACAATAATAAAACTTTAAAAATTATATATAAAATTTTCTTAAAAAAATATAATAAATAAATTAGTATTAAGGTATAATATATTGTATATAAATTTTATAATTTTTTATTATATATTTAAGGATTTAAAAATTGATAAAGATAAAATTTATAATAAAAATATAATAAGTGGACTTAAACTTTTAGAAACAACTATATAATTATATAATTTAATATAATTAAATTTAAGTAAATTAATTTTTATTTAATAATTTATTTATAAATATTAATTTTGATTAAATTAAATATGATTATTATTTAATTGAAAATATATTTTTAATATAAATTAAGTTAATATATATATATATATATATTTGCATAAAATTATAAATTAAGTTAATATATATATATATATATATTTGCATAAAATTTTGAATTTTAGTAAAAATTCATTATATCATTTTTAATATGTTATATCATTTAATTTTTAAAAATAATTTGAAAATATAATTTACATAATTTTTTGTTTATAAAAATTATATAATAAAATTATATGAGTATTATATAAATTTAAATATTTGTCAATTGAACAATATATATATTGTATATATATATATATTAATACTATATATATTATTTATATACTGTAAATTGTAAAAAAATCAATAATGTTGTATTTAAACAAGCAAATAATTAATCAAATAGATATAGAAAAGTAATAAAATTTATTGTGAAATTTTTTTTATCATTGATTTTCTTAACTATAAAAACCTTGTTTTATTTATTATTATTATTTTTTTTTTTTAAGAAAAAGTATATGATTCTTGTTTTAAAGATTATTTTCTTATGGATTCCAATCTATGCTATTTACAGTACACATTTAATAGGTGAATGGAAAAAAATCAGGAAATCGAAATATTGCAAAGTTCAAATTTTGGACACGAATCAAACAATGCTAGCCAAAAAAAGAAAAGAAAAGAAAAGAAAAAAAAGAAATAGGAGTTTCTTGATCTTAAACTAGTTTATTGATCAAATAGAAAAAAATAATAATAATAATCGTTATTGGTAGGTGTGTATACACTGCATAATTAATATAGCGAAATAGGTGTATGCAATATTTGTAATATCGTTTGTTTCCCAAGAAATGTTGGGTTATAATTTGCCAAATATTTACTACTTTCAAAATAGTTTTACATCACAACTTTTTTTTTTTTATCTGACCGGCGAATTATTTTTAGGGATGCCGTATGACATTGCAATGATAATTAACAATATCATATATTCTTGATATTTCCATCAGCACCTCCGATATCCCTGACCATATCATTTTAGATGACGATGTCTACGGGTCGAAAAAAACATATGATCCCTTTTCCTAACGCAAACAATATTTTCGCATCAAACACACATTTACTTAATAAAAAGGAATATGGCCGATCGGTGTGATTGGTTATATCAGGGTTACATGATGTTAATGATTATAACTTTGGGCTACCCTTCTGGAGAGACCATGTGCATGCGATGCTTTACTAATGTGTTTTCCCTTACGCACGAATTCTCCGTCACCAATGCGAACGCTTAATTTCCGTAATAATGATGGTGATCTACATCAGGAAAGCGTGTAAGCATAAAATCAATAAAAAAAAATTATTGACCCGAGAAACCGTATTAATAAATTAGCATGCACAAGAGGTATTGGACAATTATTAGCGGGCATAAATGAAAACTAAAGAGTCGCTGTAATTGCTGAAACCGAACATCACTAATTTAACCTCTATGAGAATAAACATCTTTATTTACTCATTCAGATGGCCGCAATTTGAGTCCATCGCATGGATCCAATTATTTATTCATTTTTGCTGATTTCGTCGTTGAAATGTTTTGCGCTTGTAAAGATTGCACAAATGTTATTTATTATTCACAAGCTAATGTTATGTGATCGACGAATGCACGTTTTAAGGTTGGTGCTGCCCTGGAATATACGATCCTACTACTACCAATGGGGATATGTGGCCCCGTGGTAAAATTGCCGAGATCGGATCGCCACCCCGGCTTAAATCAAGAGTTGCCAGTTATAGGGATGGGTCAAATATTTGTTTACATAAAATAGGTCCATGAATTTATTTGTTTTCCTAATTTGAACCATAGCTTAATCTGTCTTCCCGATTTAAGGATGCAAAAAAAAAAAAAAACAAAAACAAAAACAAAAAAAAAATTCCTTAATATCTCTTTCCTTTTCGTTCAGCACTTTCATGGCATATCAGTGCACCTATGATCACCGAGAATTTCTCAATCTCGTTCGTGCGCGCGCACCCCCTTGACTTCATTTCCTTTATGCGGATAGTGTTCTTCCGATTTCCATATCTCCATCCCCCCCCCTTTTTTTTAATTAAAACAAAAAAATAAAATAAAATAAAACAAAAAATAAAAAGATTTTTTTTTTTTTTTTCTTCAATGAAAGAACCCGGGCTTGCCCAAATCTTTATCTCAGTTCAATTTTCATTCGTTTTTTATTATTAGTGTAAACAATAATTTTTTGTTCTGAGGCGAATAAAGAAATACGTGTGATCGACCCTTAAATGGCAATACATTATTATGTAATGTTGTTGTGGACGGGAAATGAGATTTATTACAGTAATATTCGGAAAAGAATGAACCACGCGGTTAAGTGAAGTAAGCGTAATTGTGTGTGTAGCGCAAGTAGTTATGACAGTTATGTGCATGCCCAAGTGGAGGCATACGCCGACTTTTTGACGTCGAACAAAAAATGGAACTCGAATTGATTCATTATGCGAGCATCTAGAACGCGTCAAGTCGCCTTTAACTCACCAATTCAAAAAAGTCAGGGAGTTTGTACGATAAACAAATGTAATATTGCTCGTTCTTTGAAGCCTTTAACAAATGATCGCTAAAATGTTAATCTATGTAAATGGGTGGGCACAGCCGAAAAGGTTGCGCATGTGGAAAACCTAAAGCGCGAGTACAACACGGTGAAATCATTCGTTTCATCAGACAAGGTGGAGTAAAATCCAATGGTAACAGGTGCACCGGGGATTCTTTATGTTCCATTTAGGGAATTCACAATCGGTTGACTTTTTTTTTTTTTCCTGTCAATTGCTCGCCAAATCACCCAAGTCAATTGAATATGACTGGTCTTCGCGCAGATTCGGCAGCACACATCAAAGTTTGACACGGAAAGATGCGCCTTTTACCCATAAACGGCGATATTCTTTGGTGACTTGTCGACTTCATTGTTAAAAGCATTTTCTTAAATTGGAGGGAACCGCATCTCACTCCAGTTACAAAAATTCCGAGATAACCGTTCGATATCTACAGCGTAGCGCATGCGTGATACCTTCTGAGGAACGCAAAAAGATGCCTTCTCGATAATAACGATTGGGAACCAATGAGTGAGTTGATCCACAGGGTCATTGACGATGATAAGGGCGTGAACAAAATAGTTCTCGAACAACCAGAGAGATTGGATTGGATACGTTCCGTGCCGCCCACTCCCATCACACCGTGGTGTGGTGCGAAAATACAATGCACTTGCCTTGGCGTTATTTATTTCGATTAGTTTTTTTTATTTTTTACTTTGCGCAGGATAATAATGGGAGGCCGACATATTTGGATGTATGCGTTTGTACATCGTAAACATTAAGAATTTGCACCGTGCAACACGTACGGTGTGTGCACACTGTATATACACGCGCGTCTACTGTAAAAAGTCACATATCCCCTATTCCCCATAATGGACTTTATTCGCCGAATCTAATACTCGTTTGATTGTAAGAAAGTTATACGTGATCAATCTGGATCGCCTGTGTGACCGTTCGAAGGTAAATCTTGACTCGAACAGCACATCCATGAAACAACCAATGGCAATTATCTAATTAGGTGTGTGTGGGGATAGATTCCTAATTGAAGTTATGAAGAATAGGTGCACCTGTGTTCCACAAGAAGATAGCGTTCTTAAATCTGCGTTAAAAATATGAGCTGGATCTGGTGATCGCTGTTCTCCAATTTTGGACGATGTACCCTGGTTACAAATAGTCATATAGAAAAAAAAAAAACTATTTCCTAAAAAGGTTAGCCCTAATTTGGATTGACTCTTTTATTCGAATTACGTGATGCACCATATCTAACTAAAATCGGAATACAAGGGGGTGGATAGAGTAGGTGTCGTATAAATTATTAGTGGTAACCTCTCGGTTGGTTTTTATCCATTATTTGCGAACAGGAAAACGGTCCTTACCTCGCTGGGACAACCAACATGCTGTATGTTTGGCACTTTTTTTTTTTTTTTTTGTGGAAAATGCAAGATGCACACGAATCAAGACAAGAGCATTGTCAACTTGAGATGCGTGTATGAGATAACCTTTAGACCTATGTCAATCAAATACATGTCATTGCATTAATCAATATAGAAAGTTTCCTTCAACGCATCACCGCATCGATTCACATCGCATGCACAGTATTTCACGTGAAGATAATTGAGGCAAGGAGGAGGAAGCTACTCCACAATCATCGCTCGTCGAAATTACACAACATAAACCGCCCACGTAACTAATTTTTTTTTTTTTTCGAGGACTCTCCAGCCTGAGAGAATGAAATCTGGGTAACAAAGAATCGGTTTGATATTTGTCGAGGTGGTGTTGGTGGTGGTGGTGACACTTTTTTGTAATGCCGTAGGTAGGTATCCGAAAAAGATGTGTCAACTAATCCAACGGCCATCTTATCTGTCTGATTGTTACAACTCTTTATCCCATGACGTCCAACGTGACAACAAATAAAAAATAAATAAAATCAGGTAGCATTCATGTACCACGGTGCACGAATGCGACTTAACATTTTCGAGTCTCGGAAAGATTCGAGGGTGTAATCTGCCCATTATTAAAGTCGTTTATTATTAATTTATCCATTATTGAGCTCGAAAAAAAGTCCGGCCATTATCGTTTTCGCAATTAGTAAATAGAAGGATGATGATCCTTGCCATTGTGAAAAGCAGAGAGATCAGCTTTTTGGCGCACCTTGCTTTGTTAACCAAATCAGTCGAACAGTAGTGGTACACACACACACGTAGAGTGACACTTCTTTTATTCTTAGTTTCCGTGTATATCTAGAATTATCTGAACGTGGGGCACAATGTACCATCGGCGAATTAGCAAAAACGATTCATCAGGAGAAGTGAAACGAATTAAAGAAATTTTGCCATTTCCCGATTCTGAAAACAAGAGTGTGAGGGGTGGAAGGAAAAAAAAAAGGTACAAATAAGATAGAATTTCCATTCCCTCTCATCCCCTCCTCAACCGAAGGGATTCGCAAAGGCGAATATTACCAATTCAAGTTACGCTTTCTCTAATTAATCTCAAGTTATAACGCGCATCACACTTTTCACCCTTTATCAAACCCCAACCCGCCATCACCATCGGCTTCACAGTTTCACGACGTGAAAAATTCGCTCGTTACATCCTTTTTTTTTTTTGTTTCTCGAAACGTCACATCCATCCGTTTACCGTTAAATTACATTTCTTTGTTCTCGTGTAAATCCCACACATTTTTTTTCTTTGTTCCAAGTCTCTAGATCAGACAGATAACATCACCGGTAACTTTTTTGATCATCAAGTAAGCTATTTTGCTAATTAAGTTGAATTTAATTCTATTTCCACTTTTGAAAAATCTATTTCATTATTCTAAAGCATTTATTTACCTTAACAAGATTATTTCCTGATTGGAGGAATTTAGTTCCTTTTTTTTTTTTTTTTTTTTTTTTTTTTGAAAATCCGAATATTTAAAGAATCGACTTTCCACACACTCCCTTCGTGCGCTCAGCCCTTTCTCCTTCTTAAGATTTATTTATTAATCATATCACCTATCGAGAAAGAGCCCACGAGAATACCTATTAACCAATTATTCACCTCTACTATTTCCCCCCTCCTCCTTTACAAAGTACTATCCGGCACCTCTGACTGTTCGGATTACAGATCACAAAAGTCCTTATTTACTGACGTGCTACAACCGACTGTTTCAAAAAAGGTAAGGGTCTGACGATAGTGCACATGGCGAAATAATTAGACTAAGGGACAATTTATATATTGTACACATATGCAACTCTGTTGTTAACATAAAGACAAATTAAAAACAAAGACAGAACTTTAATTTAAAATTATTGTCGTACCGCTAATGATTTTTAATATATATTTCACTTCTTTCCGCTTTACCTTTTACAGATTCTTGTTTGTCTCGAACTTCCCCTGGCGCCTTTCGCATCTTGACTCTCACTTTTACATACCGCTTCAACCGTTGTCTTGGTCCGTTCCCAAATTTATCGGAGTCGTGACAAACATAGAAATTAACTAGAATTTATTTTAAAAAACAAAACCCCCCCAAAAAAAAACTCCCCTTTTTTTTTTAAAGAAAATCGTTTATATAGACGTACAACCACCTTCATTTTCATCCCTCGATACTCTCTATAAACTTCACACCTTGCATTCTTCCCCAGCGATGACCGAACAAAATTATTGCGATTGGCGTGTCGAAGTCTACGGATGCGTGATGTCCAACTTATGGGTGGGCGAGGCGACCGTCTCGCTCATCAGCTATGCCCTCCTCTCTTTAACTGGCACCTTTGTATTTTGCTACCGCTACAAGTACATGTGGCAAGGACTCTTCGTTGATCACGGAAATGGTATTCGCCCGTTGCCCATCGATTGTCTGCTGTTCTTTTGGACCATTGGATGCTACTTCCGGGGCCTACATTACCTGCTGATGTTGCTCAATGCCTACACCCACTATTGGCAGCGTGAGATGTTACAGGAAAGTGGGTGGACCATACTCTGCTACGGTGCCGTTTGTTATATTGTTGGTAGGTATCGTGAAATTGTCCTCACTCGTTCGCTTGCCTATTGCAAACCTCTCATCCACGTGTCTCCCTTTCGCTCCCAGGGGTCATCTACACCATCCCCGCCAACTACACACACGGGGCACGCGCCGTCATAAAGATCGAAAGCAAGAAGTCCGAACCCCAGAAGTACTCCACCTCTCGGGACATCTACCTTCCGACTCCCACTCAATTAAACTGGTTACTTGCCATCTGGTGTCTGTATCCCACATTAACCGTCTTCCCCTTCTCAATTTTGTCCGGTGCATCCCGGGATCACGGTGATATCGCCGAGTCGAATATGTGGACGGGTGCTCATTACGTTGCCTACTTCATTCACGACACCATCCTCGCCCTTTCCGGTGCCTACTACGGGATAAACTTTATGCTGATCCTCCGAAGCTCCATGAAACAATTTAACCGTTCCTCCTCCACCTTCCACCGAAGTAAGAATGGTACCCGTGAGGCACTTGATCGACTCAAGTACACCATGACCTACATCGCTGTGCTTCCCCTCATCTCCGGTCCGTGGTGGGCAATCTATGGAATTTATCATGATCGAATCATCTCCTCGATCAACGGGGTGAACCTGTTCTTGTCGTTCATGTGGAACATCGCCGGAATACAACCGTTGATCGCCGTGGTGCAATATGTGCTGGCGAAACGCGTATACCTGCACTACACCGGACAGTTATCAAGCTCGACGAATGAGGTCTCCTCCTCAACGCAATCCACCACATCACCCGAAGTCACCGATCACAGAGCTGCATTGAACAGAAACCCGACGACAGTCGTCAACGTTAACACCGTGGTCATGACCAGGACCGACAACCAATCGACATCGTCAAGAGATTCGATGACATTCGTTGGCGGCAGCGATAACTCTTCGGAAGCGGATTATGACCACAAGATTGACATGAAATCATTGAATGATGGCAATAACTCCCGGGGACAAGAATTATCGGTGCATTTTCGGAACTCCGAGGGGGTGTAGATTATCGGCGTAAAACATTTTTTTTTCTTTTGCATTGTGTATAAAAACCTCATTCCAGCATCATCTCCATAATCCCACCGGTAGTATCCATGTTTAAATAATGAATTGAACTTTATTCTTTCCAACATCCTTTTCGTTTGTTCAATTCTTCCAATCCACGATGGGAGAACTCGCGTGTGTTTCACCTTTTTGTTATTATCATCATCATTATTATTATTACTATTATTATTTCATTTCTCTTCTCATTATGCATATGTCTACGTACAGTATATACAAATATATTGTCCCTTTTTTTCAATCTTTACTCGACATTACCTATCCTTAGACGTGGAGACTCTTCTCCCTTTTATTTATACATATTTTTCTAGACATGGGGAACTTTCTAATTCACTCGTTGTATTTTTTTTGTATTTTTGTATTTTTTTTTTTTTTGTAATTTTTTTGTGTATAGCTTTAATTCCATCCTCCATGCCCGACCACTCCCACTCCTCTTGCACCCCAATTGACTGACGGCTTTCACGAAAAAAACCTTTCCACCCCAACACAACAAGAAAAAAAATCACGTTTGTTGCATACGCAGTAAATATAGTAAATAAAATAGGTAAACATTGAATACTTTTAGCATGTACACATAGTTCACATCTTTTGCATTCTTTTTCTTTTTCATTGCATTGTTTTTTTTTTTTTATATATATACACATATTTATATAAAAAAAAAAAAAAAAAAAAAAAAAAAATCACACATTACCTTTTCTGCATTTTTTTTGCTTGGTTTCAAAGAAAATAAAGAATAAGTTCCGAAAGAAATCATGTGCTGAGAAAGCATCCTTCGCTGAAATGTCATAAATGTTTTGTGTGCACGCATTGCGCGTCGAGTTTTATTTCTGCGAGTACGAGCGATATAAAATGGAATTACGAAATAGTGTGACAAACACGCTCTTCACGCGTAAAAGACCTTGACCCAAAGTTTATTAAACAGGTTTGACAACATCACCCTCTTCATCATCATCGAGTTTATCGATCAGAACTCCGTCGACCTCTGCCGCCACCTCCTTGGCCAACTCCGTCACCACGTCTCGGTTTGTCTCCCTTGACAACAAGCTCACCACCACCAATCTCTTGTTTTCAGTCCATTTCGGATAGCTTCCAATCTTTATTCCGAGGCTCTCCACTTTCTTCTGGGTCGACGCCAACACCGGTGCGATGAGAGATTCCTGTTTGAACGTTTTCACATACCTCGTGACAAATTTTTCACCCTCCCGAAGATATTTCCCGTACCCCGATAACATTCCTCTAAATAACACGGGTATTCCTGGTAATATGTGGACGTTCTCGTTAACAATGACTATCGGCACCCACAGACTTTCGCTAGGGAAGACGACGAGCGACGGCTCCGGGAAGAGTGCCATGCGTTTGCGTGAGTCGGATTGCATTAACGGAACGCCCTTCGTCACACCGTTCATGCGATCCAGCGTCGGTTGATGGCACTTCAGTGGGAGACCGTACGCTCGCGCTATTGACGGATACGTGATGTCATCATGCGTGGGCCCTGTTGTTTTTGGGGGGGACGTCTAATTGAATCGTAATTTATAATGGTGACACTCGAAATCCATGTGAGAAGTCGATTCTAACCTATTCCTCCGCTGGTGACAACGAAATCGTAATTGCTGCTGAGGCGCCTCACAGCTTCAATTATAGTCTACGTGATTAATCCGAATCGGATGGATAAACGATTATCAATAAAATATGCTCGACTGAAAATCCCAGAATACCGATGCAGCGGAAAATCTTTTATACCCCTTCCTCGTCAGGAACGACCTCTATTCTTTTAACGACAATTCCATGATTGAAACAAAACTTGACTACATGTTGTTTCCGCGCGTGGATGAAATTGTGTGGTGAGCGGTTGCTTGATAGAGAAAAATCACATCACTTTCACCATCGCAAAATCTCTTCGCACCTACCAAAAAACCCGGAATTTGTATCGGCCACCTTTCCATTAAGAATCTCGTCGCCGATCACCAGACAGGCTGCAGTCTTCGGGAACGGTCTGCCCTGTAACTCCGAAACAGGGGTCACGGGTAATACCGCATTCGGCCGTTGCTTCTCCTCTCTCTCTAACTTTTCTCCGCCTCTTTGTTGTTCAATCGTCATCGTGCATGCAGATCTATGAAACGTGTGAGAATGCACACGATTAGCTGACATCCGAGAATCGATTAGTAATCGTAAATTCAACTGTGCATTTCATTGGAATAGCGTTGGGAATTATCATTACTAACAATCTACAAATGTTAAAGATAATGAACAAGGATACAAGGGCGAACTTACAGATGTCGAATTAGGCCGATGACTAATTCTGTAGGTTAGTTGGAATGACGAACGGAACAACATTGGCCTTTCGTGATGGCGAATCCGCCAAATCCGGATGTTTCAAGTTTAAAACTCGAAGAAAGAAAGTTGTGCGATGCCTTTTATCATGACAAAAAAAGCATGATCGAAGGCACCTGACCAATCCACCAAATGATGTCACGGTCTAACGTTAAAAAAGTTCCTTTTCATATAGCATTTAATTTGGTGTGTGTGTGCCGTGGAGAAAAGGTTTCACAGGAAACATTGCAAGTCTGAAAAAGGCGTAAAGCTCTAAACTTTTTTGCGCTACTGCCTTGGAAAAAGAGACAGTCGTGTCGTTGGTAAAAAAAATTTTTTTTTTTTTTTTTTTTTTTTTTTTTTGAATGCATCAATTCATCTTGTAATATCGAACAAGTATGTTAAAATTAACAAATAACCTACCGTCTTTGGCATTTTCAATAATGATGATGATGATAAGGGTTCACCGGTTAGAACATAGGTAACTTGACATGATTCCATTTGACGATTCGATCACTACAAAGCGACAAAAATATTGTTTGTTTTATTGTCTTTGTCTTTTTCATGTTCGCTTGATCCTTGAAAATGGAAACCCGCGGTGCCTAGGCATAAACATTTGCACACCAACTCACCTGTCTTGCGTGTCTTTCCACTTTCCTTTTCAAATGCGTCCAAAGGTGATTGTAATAATTAAAAAAAAAAAAAGAAACCCTGAAATGGCAAAGTTCAACAAAGACTTGTGAAATCCGCATATCGATATCAATTTTCAAATTCCGTAAATAATTTATTATATAAAACAGAATCATGCATTTTTATCTTTGATTTTTTTAAATCCACAGTTATGCCATCATGTTAAGTCTTTGTCGAGATATTAAATAAACTTCTACGATGTTAGATTATTGGTTGAAGGATCACGCTACTTAAAATATATATGGAGTCTACTAAGCTAGTTTGGATTAAACAGAGCAAAGTCTTAACTAAGTATTTTAAGTAACAATATACTCTCTTGATAGATTGATATTGGAATCTCTATCTATTATCAACAGTTTGTCACTATAGATTATTTCAAAAAAACAATAAATTATTAAACTAATGCATTAGAGAAGAGAAAAAAAAAATCAGTTTAAAGTTCTTTTAAAAGGTTTTTGTTCAAATAAACAATCTTTTCTCAAGAGAAATTTACATAATTAAGATGTTTTTTAGTTTTAAACTATCTGAAGAACTTATTTATTGATTACTGGAACTATATATTATTTAAAAAACCTATTATCATATTGTAAGTTTTTAAAATAGATAATTTTATCTTGTATCTTTTGCTTATAAGATTTGAACCTATAACTTGATTCAAATAATAGTATTAATAACTTAAAGATAAGTTTTTAAAAAAGAAAATAAAGATAAAAACAAATATTTTTAATTAGTAAATATCAAAAAAAATTTTAAACCACAACTGGTATTAGATGCGAGCACTTTTATTAAAAATTAATTTGACATCTTGAATAATGAAATTCTAGGCATAACATCAATCATCTCATATAAACTATATATTTCTATATATATGCAGATTAATGATAACCTATTGCAGTTTATTCTAGGTGGACCAGTTACCATTCTATGAGTAAGGCAGATCCAGCTAGGGGCTGGACAGTCAAATACATAGTCATCAATAGCAAAATAGGCTAATTTAATGATATGTTTTTATAAATTTTATATTATATTCACTAAACTAGGCTGTATAATATATACCCAATAAGATTTGGTTTTATTCTCCAATACTTCCAAATATTATTTGCTCAGATCTCAGAAGGAAGCACTTTACTTTCTTTATTATCACTTATGACATCAAACCAGTCTTATTTTTGACTGATTTTCATTTAAGCGAAACTTCATATTGAAATATCCTAAACTAGAAGAATGGAAATCCTAAAGATTACCAAGACAGAGGGTCCTTGGAATATTTATGGTAGGCTAGACCAGAAGCTTTTCTTCATGCAATTCTTCTGATAGTATGACTATAGATTTCAGCTCCTAATGAATATAAGATCAGAAATCTCATCTTCATGTAGCCTAATCTAATTAAAGCTTATTCTAAATAATTGGATATGATTTTCATAAGATAATCGATAAATTTAATTAGAAAGATAATATTTGATTTTGATTCTTAAGTGATATGGACTACAGATCTTGTGATTGTAATCTAGAAATACTACTATTGTGTTATTGACCCATAGGTCTTGAATATCAAATTTTTTAAATTGATAAATATAAAAAACTATTTATAATAATTTCTTATAATTTAAATTACTGATTTATGATATTTGTTAAATTTATACTAAAGTAACACTAGTCGAAAAAAAATTATTCGGCATACTGCCACTCGTGTAACATTTGACAAAAATACTACCACTTGTGTAATATTCAGCAAAAAATAAACAATTCAGCAAAAAAAAATGACATAAATAAATCGGCAACTATAAAAATTGTCAGTCAAAACTATTCATTAAAAATTCATCAAAAATTCATCAACTATTCATCCACTATTCGTCAACTATTCGTCAAC